AGCGCTCGAGAAGGACGTCGAGGAGAAGTTCCTCTGCCTCGCTGCGCTCTGCTGCCTCATAGACTACTTTTGGGAGCACGAGGCCACCGTGTTTGTCAAGGGGATGCTGCGAATCAAGTTTACGGGAGCACACGGCGTGCTTCTGCTCGACCCCGCCTCGGTGAGAAACCTGGAGCTGCTCCGCAGCCTTCGGACGGGCGATCCGAAGGCCGGGCCCGTGTTGCCTGCTCCCGGCGTCCGCTGCTCCACCACTCGCTCATGCGCGGCGCGCCACGCACAGGAGTCGCTCTATGGCATCCTCAAGGCCGGGTGCAAGACTTCGTCGGGCGCGCGGCTCCTCCGTTCCTCGCTGATTCAGCCCAGCAACGACCTCTCAACCATCAACACGCGTCAAGAGTGCGTGCTGGAGCTGCTTGGGCGCGAAGACACGCTGCTGGACCTGCAGCGTATCCTGCCGCAGCTGGCTGACTGCGACCGCGTCCTCAAGCACTTCATGCAGCGGTCGAGCGACGCGTCAAAGCAGTCGCAGAGCTCCCGAGCGGAGGCTTCGATCGCATCGGTCCTGCACCTCAAGCAGCTGGTGCAGATCGCACCGACCCTGGCATGTGCGCTCTCGTCCAACGGCCAAACCCCTCCGGAGAATGAGCTGCTCCGTGCGGTCGAGCGCATCATGCGAGCCGCACCGGCCCGTGTCCCGCCTCCTTGCCCAGGCAAAGCCGCGGTCTGACATCCATCCCACTCGTAGGCTCTCGCCACAGCTGAGGGACATCGAGGACCTGATCAGCAGCCATATCGAAGGTGCGCAAGCGTGGTCGCATCTCGCTCGGGTTTGCGGGGCACGCGACACACGCTGACGCCCCGCTCGACGTCTTCGGTGCAGACGATGCCAAGTACGAGAAACGCCACGCTCAGCGCCAGCTGCAGTGCCTGTTTGCGGCGCGGAACGAGCTGTCGGGCAGCCTCAAGACGCATCGTGAGACGCTCGGCGCTCTGACGCTGCAGATGGAGGAGCTGCTCGAGAGCCTTCAGCGCGACCTCTCCCTGGAATCGCTCAAGCTCAACTACAGCCAGAGGCGCGGGTACCACTTCACCCTTCCGGCTGCAGAGCGCCCGCTGGCCGTGCAGCACAACTTCATCCACATCCAGATCATGTCCAAGCGGACCGTCGGCTGCTCGACCGAGAAGCTCCAGCAAATCAACTCTCGCTGCCGCGAGTGAGCGCGACGCTCTAGTTTTGTGCTCTAGTGCACACGGCGTCGCTGGGCCTGCCTCATGGCCTACCTAGCCAACCAATGCCGCCCTGCCCGCTCGCCGTCCCCTCGCCCTCGTCCTCTCTCACCGACCCGCCCCCGTCGCTGTGTGCGGTCAGCGTCATCCAGAAGATCCTCGCCGCCACGGAGCGGGTAACTCTCGCCCCGCGCGGCCTCGCGAGACGCCGCAGAGAGGCGATCCAAGTGCAGCGGTGCCGTCGCACGAGTAGGTCATCGGCGGGCTCATCGAGGAGCTGCAAAAGAAGCTGCAGCTCCTCTTCCGACTCTCCGAGTCGGTCGCGCTGCTAGACATGATGCGCGCCTTCGCCCCTCTCTCCCCGCGGGGAGAGGCCCCCCTCTGCCGCCAGCAGGCTGCTAGAGCCAAGGCAACCCCGCATCGCAGGTGCGCCTTCACGTCGTATGTCCGGCTCTCCGGCTCCGCCTTTGCCCGCCCCGTCGTTGGCGAGGGCGACGAGCTGGTCCTCAAGGGGTCAGCCCCCCTCCACCCCCCAGGCCGCCCGCGCGCCCTCTGACAAGCGAACCCTCATCCCGGACCGCGCCCCTCGGACTGCAGATCGCGGCACCCGATCCTCGAGCGGCTGGGCAGCGCTTGGCCCGCGAGGCGGGCTGCCGTGGCCTGCTCTCGCCTCCCTACCCATCGCCGCCTCACTAGGCGAGCACTCCGCCGTGCCAAACGACGTCTTCGTCACCCCCGCGTGCAACCTGCAGCTCATCACTGGACCGAACATGGCGGGCAAGTCCACCTACCTGCGGCAGGTGGCGCTCATCTGCCTGATGGCGCACATCGGCTGCCCCGTCCCCGCCGAGGACGCGCAAGTGCCGCTGCTGCAGCGCGTCTTCACGCGCATCTCCACCTCGGACTCGCTCGAGACCAACGCGTCGAGCTTCGTGAGCGAGATGCGCGAGACGAGCTACATCCTCCGCAACGTGCGGCCCGGCTGCGCGGCGCTCGTGCTCTTCGACGAGCTGGGCCGCGGCACCTCGAACCGCGCGGGGGCCAGCCTCGCGTGGGCCATCGCGG